AGAATTTAATGCACCCTATGCAATTGAAATTAGGGCAGACACTGGCCAAGCATGCAGCAAGAAGCAGTCCCTGTCCCAACACTTTAGGTCTAACTAGGTAAACAGCAGGCAGGGAAACAGATGGTGAATTGATTCTTCTCTTGGTCACATGGAGAGGCAGAGCTCAGGTGGGCTTCAGTCTATACCTAGGGCTTAAGTTCAATGGTTCCCCACCCTGCCCTTCATTGCCATTTCAGTGAGAGTTGTGTGGCAAAGTCCATGCTAAAAAACTCAACCAGAGACTTTGAGGGCATTATTTCGTGTTGCCACAGAACCTTGATCAATTGAACGTTGTGAAAATTTGACTGTCTGCGGGACTGATATATCAGTATTACTGTCTCCTAACAATCCCTCTTCATGGTGGCTGAGGGGGACTATGCCATTTGCTTCTTTCTACAGTTAGTCCGATTCCTAAACAAAAAGTATCCAGCCCGGTTTTTTTCCAAAGCTGCTCCCATGACAAAACTTTCTCTTTTATATCTAGATCCAGAGTAGTATCCAACCACATGCAATCATTATTCTCCCAAATACTGATGGGATGGAGCTGCTAGTTTGCTATGAGGATGAAGGTGTTTATGTTAATACATACGGGAGGATCACCAAAGATGTGGTTCTACAGTGGGGAGAGATGCCTACATCAGTTGGTATGTGTCCTGCGAGAATCAAAGGTTGACCTATAAAGTTGGGGGAAATAATGAGCGGTGGGGGTGAAATGTGTCCACTCTTGTCTTCGGATAACTGCTGGTGAATCAAGTATGTCATGAGGTGAAAGAGTGTACAAAATAGGGAGAGATTCTTTTGCTGACATTGAGTTCCCTTTAGAATAAAATCCAAAAACATAAATGCGTTATGAAGCATGGGGGTGAATAAAATAATGTAGTGAACTTAATACATCATTAGACAGCCGGTAAACTGTGATGGCCTGCATCTCTAAGGGAATCTGGTAGCTTGTAGCATGGTGGGTATTAATGTGAGAGAATTGTATGTGATTTGCTGGGCTTAATGTGATTTTTGGGAAGCAGAATACTTTATACTAAAATGTTGTCTTTAGGGTATGCCTGTGTAACAGAATGAAGGTGTGATTGTTGTGTGTGTTAGCTTAAGCTTGCTGGCCAACAGGAACAATGACAGCTATGATTCTGCGGACCAGGTTTTAGTACATCCTGGCAACCCATCCATATACCCAGGGTGTGTACTCGAGTTGCCAGCATGTGTGAAAGTCTGTGCTACTGTGTCTTGGAGGCAGTAGCTTTTTTTTTTTTATGAAATCCCTTATGTTGTCTTTGGCAGCATTCACCAAAATGATACACAGGTCATTTATCAGATATATTTTTTATAATGCTAGCTAGCCTTTTCTTTTTTTCTAATTTTTATTACAACTCTGTAGTAATTGTTAGAGAGAGGGGTTTTTTTCTTGCTGCTAGTACTAAGTTCTTAACTAATAGAAGTTAGGGCTGATACCTCAAGGGAAAAAATAGTCTTATTTTTCCTTTTTGGCGCATTTTAAAGAAGACCCACAACAGGTGCACTTCTAATATTTCTTCCATTTTAGAGCTCATTTAAAGCAATATTAATGCTTTTCAAACTAATTGAATTTTTCAGAATGGAAGAAAATAACGTAAAATGTGTCCGTTATAAATGGCCTCTCTTACTTCACAAAAATAGTTTTTTCCCAATTTTTACTAGAGCACTCTCCAAAACTGAAAGAACTAGTATAATTCTAATGTCACAAAAGAGAAAAGTGAAACTTGGGCAATTCAGCAGGGAGATTCTGTTGCATATAAATCGCAGGTTCTGTTTAGATTGCATACAGATTTACTTATCTCTTTGCAAAACATGGAAGAACAGCTTTATGTAAAAATTAATGTTCTACCCACTTAATTGAGGTTTGGGAAAACTCCTAGTCAGTCTGTAGCTTGTCAATAGGTACTCCTTCATAAAGAAGAATATTTCTAACAACTTATTCCTTGAATAGAATTGTTCTTTCTATTCTCATCATAATAAAGCTTAAAAACTAAAAACACGAACAAGTACATTTTTCTTTGCAAAGTGCCTTTAATTAGATCGTACAAAAATGTTTCTTTGGGTTTTTTTCAGTGACTGTGTTGCCTTTATTTGTAACACGTGTCTGTATTTTTTTTTGTTCCTAAAGCATACATTCGATCCAATCAGATTATGGGCTGGGGAGAAAAGGCTATTGAGATACGATCTGTGGAAACAGGGCACTTGGATGGTGTTTTCATGCACAAAAGGGCACAAAGGCTCAAGTTCTTATGTGAAAGGAATGACAAGGTAGGTTTTTAGTTTTGCTTCCAATTTCTTGTTTCAGTTGCATTGTGTACTTTAATGGTATTATAATTATCTTGGGAAAATAAAATGCCTGCTTGCTTGCTCATTAGACAACATAAAAGCATACGATAAGCATATGATACATCTACTTGATGGTTGTAATAAACTCGTTTTTTTGGGTTTTTTTCCTCTTTTTCTCTCCTCTCAGGTTTTCTTTGCCTCTGTGCGGTCTGGTGGAAGCAGTCAAGTTTATTTCATGACCCTAGGCAGGACTTCTCTTCTGAGCTGGTAGAAGCAGTGTGATTTGACAAAGGATCACTGACATCCAGAGTCTTTTGAGATCTTCATAACTTGGAATTATTTGCAACTGGAGTACAGACCTGCACAGATGCAGCACTTCATGTACATGTGTGCACAGGCATCACTGGTGTTAGGTTTCTTTTTGTTCTTAAAATGAGGCTGCAATGCAGCTGGTGCTGTAAAGTTCTTGCCATCAGGTGCTATCTGTCTTTGAGATTTGGGATCACACTAGAAAGCAACAGGTTATGGGATTTTATTTTTTTCCTTCAGCTCCAGAATTCCTTGGCTTTGAATGACTCTGTTTGTTAGTATAAAAGAAAAAAAGAGATTTGAGATGAACATGCTGTTAAATGGGCAGAAGGCAGGAAAGAGAAGGTGACAAGTGGTGGCGAGAGAGTCAGACTTGCTGAAGTGGAGGGCAGATCTAGTCTAGTAATGTTAACAATGTATTTAATTGACATTTCTTTTTTGTAATGTGACATTATGTGGACAAAGAGGAAGGTGCAGGTTTTAAGAAGTTAATATTTATAAAATGTGAAAGACGCAGTGGCTAGGATAACTTTTTTGGGGAGGGGGGAGGGTGGAATTCCTGGGTTTTTTTGTTTCTTTTAGTTTTATTTTGGCTTGGCCAATAACTTAGTCATTTTTTCTGTGTACCAGGTTTTGCCTGAAATGTGCAGATGATTAAAAAAAAAGAGAAAAAAGAAAAAAGAAAAAAAAAGTTTATTCATTTTCTATAATGATTCTGTGTTAGGCCAGAACTTGGTTGTGTCACAGTATTAGCACTGCCTCAGTTAAAGGTTTAATTTTTGTTTAAACCTAGAAGTGCAACAACAGGTTTACCACAGTCTGCACTTGCAGAATTAAAAAAAAAAAATTCCAGACTACATATGTTTATTTTTTGTGCCTACCTCATTGTTTTTAATGCATAAAATAAAAGAGGTGGTTTCGTTTATACGTTTTTAGATGCAAACCATTAATGTCTAATTTAATCTTAATACCAAAACTACCAGATGAAAGGTTTTGTGACTGTTATTCTGTAGCAAGTTTCAGCAGGAGGGGAGAGGAGTCCATTGAAGGGGTTGGATTAGCCTTATGGCAGTGAGACACTGACTAATACCATTTGCTTACCGAGTTTGGAAAAAACACATTTCTTTTTTACCAGCTTCATCATTAATAGAAGTTTGATGAATTTAGCCTGAAACCTGCGGTTTCACTCTTCTAACACATGGGCTTAGGAACAGGCAGGTAACAAGAATTATAAACTGTTTAAATGTTGTAGGAAACTTTTTGGGGGAGGTGACATTTTTCTTTTTCTAAGAATGCAATGCACTAAAACTATTTTAAGAATGTAGTTAATATTGCTTATTCATAAGACAGCATATACCTGTGTTTAGATGTAAGATCCCAGCTCTGGCTTTTTTTCCATTTTTTTTTTTGAAGTCAGTTTTATTTTATGAAGAAGTTGTTTTTTTTTTCCCTGACATTTGTAATAAATGTCTTGAGAGTAATAATTTGTTTAATGGCTACATGTTCATTACTTGAGAAACCTTGAGTGTATAATAATCTGTTGGTGATGTAATAATGCACAGTGTCATGATCCAACCATTTTTATTTTATTTTTTTTATTTTTGGTGGGGTACTTTTTGACTGCTGCCTTAAGCTGTTCATTCAGTGAACCGGCTCTCAGTGTTTCATGGGCTTTGTCTTCTGCTGTGGTTAACTTTTTTTTCTTTTATGGCATGACAGGTAGGGCTTTTTAGACATGTTATTCTTTATAATCAAACTGATTGTTCAAGTGACTGGCCACAGGATTGCTGAACAGTAAACAGCAACAACCAGGCAACTATTTTGCTCAACAAACCCTTCTTTTGGCATCAGCCCTGACTGCTGTAAGTTCTTCAGACCTGATCAGCCGTTCTGCTGAAGGCTCTCCTTTGAACAGCAGAAACCATTTGAGAATTAAGCTGGTAGACACATACCATGTGCGTCTTTCTCTCTCTCTCTCTCTCTCTCTCTCTCTCTC